GGTGACAAAAGAAAGAGATCAGCAGTGAAAGAGAAGAGGGCAGAAAGAGAACAGACGAATACGGAGCAGCTGAATGAACAATGCTGCTCCACTCTTTTCTGAAAGTGAAAACAAAAAGCCAGTGCCAAACATTACTCAGTGATGAGAGAGCTGCTCCCGGGCCTCCTTCTCTTTCACCTTCAGACCCAGATTTGTTGCTCCACACATTCATTGCGCATGCATACCAGAACACACACACCCATATGTGTGTTTTTCTCCAGAGTGAGGGTCGGCATGCTTTAAAACCTGGCCAGGGACCTTTAATGACGAATGGGTGGTCCTGCTTTCATTCTTGGTTGTGACACAGCAGGTTTGCATAGAGTTTTATTTTTTTTTTCATGTTGTGAGAAAGTTGGAACAGAGCTGCAGGTCAAGGCTCAAGACTGCCCCCTTCAGGAGAGTCCATCAAAGAGCTGGAGGCTGATAAACACTCAGCAGTCCTCTTGTTTCTAATTCTTGGTTTGTTAGGAGGGTGGAGATGGAATGGAGAAGAAAAAACAAACAATCGAAGCACAGTTTGAGAGATTAAATAGCCTAGTTGATTGTAGAGGTGGTTTTCACAGCCATCCGTACTCTGAAGAAGTAGAACTACAGCCTGTTCATGTTGGGAGGGGGCGGAGACCGCCCCTCAGACACAGCAGAATCCAGAGGTACTACGTGGTAAGCGTGGCAACGGAGAGAGTTGAAGGAGCCATGGGCTTATTGATGCAGAAAAGGGTCCCATGAGTACCCGACATTTAAGATGGCTGTCGGACAGATATCTGACCAAGTCGGCTGCTGACCGCCATGTCGCTGGGGCTCAGAACATGCACGATTACATTACCTGCATTGATTTCCACCGACAGAGTGAAAGACAGCTTTTATTCTACGGCCTGATAGCAGAACTGCAGACGCTACAGTTCTGATGAAAGATGGGTTTAGAAAAGCCTTTGTTTCCATGGCCACAGGAGTGAGATACAGTGAGTGAAAACGAAACAAACAGAGGTATTCTTGACCAAAAAAACAGTTCCTCTTATTATCATATCAAAGCAACAGAAGTGTTGAGGGGCAGGGTTGGTGAAATAGAAGAAGAATGCACGGCTTTCAAAACTTTAGCAAACAAAAGTCCTACAAGTTTGGTCTTCATTTGCATTCATCACTCCTGCTTGACAATAATTTGTAGATCCTCTCTCAGTGCTGTTATAGACTTACAGTTATTAGTCTGTAAATGCAATAAAAAGGGTGTTTAAAAACACAAATGAAATGATCCCTTTCTAGAAGTGTGTTCAGGAGTAAAGTGATGCAAAGAACTGAAGTTTCTAGCAATGTAAACAGAGCAATAAGGGTGAATAGAATATTGTGAAACCTGGGGATGCTTTGCAACCAATTTTTTGCAACCGATTTTTTTCAAGCAAAATGGAAGATAAAATGCTTTAATATTGACATAGGATGAAGTAAGGAATAACCTTTAGATGTTTATTTGTGGCCAGATCCGATATTGAAGTCAGAGGAACTGTCTGTAGACTTCCAGGATATTCTCTAACACAGAAAGTCGTAATTTAGAAACACAACCAAGAGGTTTTAAATACTAAGCAAAGGCTGTGTATTAGGGAATTCGGATATCGGACTTTATTATTTATCTTATATGTCCATTTTATATAACTAAACTCCCTGATAACCAATACCAATAATTTCTTCCCCCTAGACCTTTTAAAGATACCATGGAGCAGAAAAATATCTGTTTGTAAAACTTTAAAATCATCCACACCGCCAGGATTAGCATTTTAGCATCTCTCCAGTCCAATGTTTAGATTTAAAAGCTAATATCGACCATTAATGATAACATCCCAACAATACCATACTTTGTACAGTATACCTATGTATGAGGAATTTTGATTTTGTTGCTTATTTGCAATGGAATTGCTTGTCGGACTGGGTCACTATGGGATATAACAGTGTATTCTCATTATCAGTTCGTACGAAATCGTACGAAAAGTTATGCACAGTAATTTCGTACCTTTTTGACGTTTTATTCGTCGTATTTCGTCGTATTTCGTCGTATTTTTACATCTTGCTATATCCTTGCACATGCGCATCTTACATAGAATTTAACATACAATTTACCCTGACCCTAACCCTAAGATACAAAACAGCAAGCAACGTAGTTCGAGACATCAAGAAGTAATTATTGCACTGTTTTTCCCAGTTTTACGTCCGTCCGCGGATCTGCTTTTTTCGTCTGTCTGCCTGCGCATGCGCACTGATCTGTATTTTCGGGGAAAAACGTCAAAAACGTACGAAATACTGTGCATAACTTTTCGTACGATTTCATACGAACTGATAATGAGAACATGTTGGATATAATGTGTTGAAATAAGAGAGATGGGATACATTCATTTTTGAAAACAGGGATGTTGCATAGCCCAAAGGAAATGGACAATCTCCCCATGTACTCCTACATGTACTGTACATGTAATCCATAGGTGACTGTTAAATGCAAAAGGTATTAAAAGGTATAAAAACCAGCATCAGTCCTATCAATTACATCTCAGTTAAACGCTATGGTTTGTCTGTCTTACAAATTCCAGAGCTAAAGTTGGGCCTGTAATGAGATATGGTGTAAAATCTAAAGGGTTCTGAAACTTTGCCATCTGTATACTTATTACTTTGAAAGCCCTTTTAAAGTCATTGAGCTGCTGACGAACAAAGACTTATTGCAATCATACACATAGCTGGATTGAAATATCAACAATATGAAAAGATTTCTGTAGTCTTGGAGCAAAGGAGCAACTTTAAAAGCGTAAAGATGTAATTAAAATCTATGTAAAGCTTCAGATAGCTTGGGGCTTAATGCTTTCATGTGGCCGAGGGAACGGCTGCCACTGAAACCAGCTGAAGGACCCCAGGGCTTCCCAGACTTTTCAGACTATGACCTCAATCCACAATCTTTCAATTCGATTCAATTCAGTTCATTTATATAGAGCCAATTCACAACATACGTCATCTCAAGGCACTTTACAGCTCACCAGATCATCCAGTCAAATTGATTTAAAGTTTTATATTAAAGGAAAACCAGTTGATTGCATCGATTCATTGCCTCTTCAGCTATCCCTCACACTAAGCATGCTTCTAGCAACAGTGGAAAGGAAAAACTCCCTTTTAACAGGAAGAAACCTCCAGCAGAACCAGGCTCAGTGTGAGCGGGCATCTGCTGAGGCCGACTGGGGTTCAACGAGAGCTGCAAAAGACAACTGGCGGCCCCATCCAGGAAACACACAGCCACACTCTAAAGAATAAAGCATGGGGGTAGTAAATTCAGCTAAAATAAATGCGAAATTTCAATATAAACATTTAAGTTTGCAGCTTTTATTTGTTAAACTAAGTAACCAGCTTGATTAATCTAAATAAACAGACTTGAAAAATAAGAAAATATCCAGACTCATTTTCCTGTGTAATTTGAATGCATTAAAGCACATCAGCTCAATTTGTCTCAAATTTTAAGTTGGTTCAGCTCAAAAAATGTTTTTGAAACTTTTTTTGAAACGGGCGTGACTACTCAAGCAGCAGACGATACTCAACATGCACCCGGTTGGGAAAGTCGACGCACTCGTGTCTGCTTGTTTGTACAGAGCTACTATCTGCGTTGGAATTTCATTTTTGCGCTTTGGAACAGCTGACAAGTCATCTTTGGGGATCTTAATCATTGCTGGAGGACCATTAACCTACAATGTGGCTGCCCATGCCACTTTGGTAAGTAAGCCTTCCCGCCGCCATTACAGTCGCTCGCTAGCAAGCCATTGATTGTACATTGATTCATTTTGAGTGGTTTATTGTTAAGCAGTGTTTAGAACGTTTTCACTGAATCCCGTTCACAATGAACTGGTGTTGTAAAATGTGTAAATATGAAACTCCCAGAAAGACTGAGGTTTTGAAACACTACAGGCTACGACATGTGCATTGTGTGCAAATTCTTCATGCCTGCCGTATTGGTCATATGCTGCTGAGGACCATGTTATTTTGCCAAGTGTCACTTTCAGCTTCAGGGTTTACTTCTTCTGAAGATGATTCATCATGCTCTGGGTTGTATTCCTCTCCATCTTCTTCTTTGGATACATCCTCTACCTCCTCTTCTGAATCAGAGTTGTCTTGCTGGACGTGAGAAAATCACCTCTAAAACTTCTTCAGTGTTGTAACGCACACTGATGGCTTCAGCACAGACACAATTCAGGGTTCTGTTATGCAGGACCTTTATAACCTCTGGAAATAAGAGGTGGTCTTCTGAAGTCTGCAAGAATACCACCTGATTTGCCTTGTTTCCTTCTGCTACTGATTAATCTGAGACACAACTAAAACTTTGTAACATTCTGTGGTTTGTAAATAACTCTATGACGTTGATTTCAACTCTATTTGCCTCACGGGTCATTTTGACCCGAAGACCATCTTTGTACCTTTTTTTGTACAGCTCACATGGAAATGTGAATAAAAGCAACATTTAACTTTTTCTATTGTCTAGGCCAATCTAGGAAAAGTCTTAAAATTTTAAGTCAAAAAAATAACATTTAGTGGATTTTTCGGGGGGTTTTAACACAGTGGCGGGTCATTTTGACCCGAGGACAACAGGAGGGTTAAGGAACGTGTAGAAAAGAACAAGGATCTGTTTGCTTTCAGAGGAAGGAGTAGACACTGCTGTCAGCGACCAGCTTTCAAGCAAACGTTTGTGTTTTTTATTAGTTTTAAATCAATATCACTGGCGATATTCTGCTATAACGTGAAGTAAAGAATAAAACAGTAAAGCTCAACTCTCATACACATAAAACCTTCCAAATTTCAAGTTCTGCATGTTGGAATTGAAGCGGAGTTAACTCGGGTTTATCTTCCTACTCCGTGCGCGCTCCCGACGAGGGGATACAAATTTTCGCAGGGATAACTACCTTGGCACGACACCGGGACTGTCAGCCTTTCACACAACACGATCGTGTCATTTCTGGTAAATAATTGTGAAGAAAGAACAGCCGCGTGTGGGTTAACTCGACTTTCCACCTAATATGGTGGTTTTCCCACGATGCACCGCGGCCGAGGTAAACAATTGACGTCACGTGGTGCAGATCGATTGGTCGGCATTTAAAAAAACATGAAACAATCACATGCGTTTTTGAAAACTGCGATTTCAAAACGAACATTTATGGTACTTTCGCCTCTCACAGGACACGCAAACACACTCCACACTCACTGGATGACTTCAAGGCTGAGCTTGTGCACAGGCATGTGAATCCAGTTAATGTAGGGGATGATCCTGATGATGATGAAGATATTGAGTGTGGAGAGGGTTATGATGAAGAAAGGAAAGAATTGCCCAGCATAATTGAAGCTAATCTTGCCCACCTTTTTCTGAAATTGGAAAGCATATCTAATGTTCCTAAACAGTGTATTACTGAGATGGTTGAAGAACTTAACTTTATTTCTAGCTCTGCATCTGGCCCTGTTATGAAAGACGTTATTACAGTTCTTGAGCCAGCTCCGTTGTCTGATATATTCCCTTTAGCTGCATACACCATTGCAGGGAAGCGTATGGTCACTCTGAAGCGATTCATTTACTTGCCATAGATGGATTTTTTTTCACATTGTCTTTGTGTTATCTAGTGATAGCAAAAGATGGCAGATTTCACAGAAAACAAGCAATCCCAAGGTACAAACTCACATTGTGCTCAATGGCATACACTGGACTGCTAAATTGACATATTTTTACAAGTTGATACAATGCAGCTGATAAGAAAGTATTTACTGTTTTATTCTCTTTATCCTATACATTTTCAGAAAGTATTTCCCCTGCTGAAAGAATACTGCATGCAATAAATGAGGAAATGGATTTTACTGATTCTGATGTTCCAGGTATGGTATTTGTAAAGAGGTTCTGCTAACATGTCTCCAAAAATGTGAAATGTATGCCAGCAAAACTTTAGGATAAAGATGTTGCAATATTCACATATTGTGTCCCATATTAGAGTCACTTAATGTTTTTTTTTGTTTTCTTAACAGATGCTCAAACATCTCATCTGAGAAAACCTGCTGTACTTCGTGTTATTGTTCAAGACCATATAATTGACAAGCTTGAACTGCCTTATGGAGTACCAGAGACAGTGGATGAGCTGCAGTCTATTGTACAACAGAAATATAGATTGGAAGCAGGGAAGTTTATCTTACATTACAAGGATGTGGATTTTGGAGGAGAATTTTTTTCTCTTGCATCAACCAAAGATCTTAAAGATAAAGACACAATTAAGGTTGTCCATATTGTTGATCTCTCCTCAATCCAATTTGTTGTAACTGACCTCGATAGATCTGACGCAGGTGCAGCCAGCAGCTAAGACAGAGGTTCATCCAGCAGTTCTGCTCCGGCTGCCAGTACTGCTTCATCTGAATCAGGTGATACAATGATCTTGTCATCACCTGATCATGGAAATTTGCGCTCAAAATCTTGGCCCTCCAAATTTCCAGTACCACGTTTCCGCAATGAGACAGAGCTTCTCCTAGCAGCTGGTAATGAAGCTTTCAATAAAGATGGATGCCCACTCAGCTCCACTGCCATTCTACCAGACATCCTTGAGAGTTTAGCCGAAAGCATCTTTGAGTATGTTGCCTATCCTACAAGTGCACAATTTGCTGATGTAGCAGAAGCACTGATCCAAAGACACCCTTGCCTGAAAGAACCAGGGTCCTACAATGGATGCTACGGATGGCAACAAAGACTGAAATTTAAAATGGGCAATTATAGATCAAAACTTAGGGGTCTTGGGTGCCCTGAGCTAGAGGTTAACTCTCTCCAAACAAAGCGAGCCAATGAGAAGATGCCAGCAAAAAACATGAAGAAAGCTCGAAAGGGTGAGGCGAACTACCTGCCACCTCATCCACTAGGAGAAACCAAAGAAAACCTTGAGCAACAAAGACTGGAACTTCTAGGTGAAGTAAAGAAGAGAGACAATTCCCAGATCATTAGTGAGAAAATGGACAGGACCTTTTCCTCTTGGAGACAAGAAATTGTCACCTTGGCTCCATCTGTCAGGGACTTGAAGGAACGATGGCCTGCTCTATTTCTTCCTGAGCAGGTTAATATTTTAGTATTTTGTTGTATTTAGAATAGGTAGTTTGGCAGGAACATGACTTCTAATATCTGTTGTACCATCTTGCTCTATTTTGTATCACACAGATCAAGGAAGAATATAAAAGAATAACCACTGCCAATCTGGAGTCAACATTTATGGCAAATCTGGACCATTGTATACCAAGGTTGATGCCATTGGTGATGTCAAGAGGAGGGGCTGCCAAACATAAGATCCAGAAAATCATGGAACTTCTGAAGGTACCTGATATGCTATTTACAATAGGAGATAATAAAAACTAACTGTTGTAAAAAAAATATTTAAAAAACACCTATTTGACATTTTTTCTTTGAATCCTCCATCAGATCAACACAGTTGAAATTCGCCGAGAGGTTGCCATTCGCTGCTTAGTGGTCTACCTTGGGGAAAATGAGGACAGTCTTTTTGAATATGTGGTAGGTGAAAGTGGATCCCTTTGCAACACCTTGAAGTTGAAGTGAAATGGAACTTTCCTTTCATACTGTCTTTGTTAATCTCTTACCAGTATCTGTCTCTCCCTACCCTGTCCTTGTTTGTTTTTGCTGCTGCTTGTTCAGTGTTTAGTAAACTAAAGGGACAAACTAACTTTTTTTCTTTGCACATGTCCTGAATAGAAATATAGTAAAAACTTGTTTTGCTTTTTATTTTCTCAAGAGAACTTTTACATTTGTTCAGAAAAGTATTACAGCCACTTAAAATATAAAAATTCAGAGTACTTTTGTCTTTTTATTCATTCCAGAAAAATGTCAAAAATTATTCCTTAGATGTTGTGTTCCAGTGGCCCTAATACTCTTCCATATGTTTGCCTTTCACTATGTTAAAACAAGAAACAAGTAAAAACCAGAATATGTTTTTCATGGCTGTGGCTACAGGCACCATCAACAGGACATTGTCTGTACATATAGTTTTAGTCTTAGAAATTCTGACTCGCAGTCATTAGATACCAGGACATTACAGGACATTTTATATTTTTTTTAATATATAGTATTGAGTGTGCCAGCTTAATGATATACTGATACTGATATTTGTTTCTGATATTCTTGCTTTCAGGATTCTGAGAGCCAAATTGGAGATTTTGAGAGTCAGGTGGTGAAGATTCTAGTCACCAAAGGTACTACAGCATCTGATCCAGCCAGCACAACCATCATCATAGAGGGCACAGAGGTCCTGCAAGGGTTGGATGTGCCAAGGGCCTGTGCTTTGCTGATGGGCCTCATTTATGCCCTCAATCTAAGCTACCCACGGGAGCTGAAGTACACTTGCGAGGTATTTCAGAAGGTGTTCCTTGAATTAGACAGTCAGAAATGCAGCCCAAAAGTCACATCTCTAAAGCAAAAGCTGCTAGGAAACCCCTTTGAGCCTCATAGCTGAACATAAAAAATGGGAACCTCATTTGTGCTGTGATGGACTTGCTGTTCAAGTGGCTTTTCCTAATTTATGCAGTGTAATGTCTTTCAACCCACATCTGGTTGCTGTTCATGTTATTCAGGTCTTTGACGTTGATAGTCATGTTTGAGAGCTGGAATATTGGTGAGTGTATTGTTTTCAGCTGACCCAGAATGTTAAATGTTTTTGGCGGTGATATATTTGCCTTTATGGTTATCCATACAAATAGTTTATTCATTTTGCCACATTCATTTTGCCAATAATGCAGAAATGTCCTACCTCAGTAAGAGTCACAGTCGTTTAAAGTCACTGACTCAACTTGGTTAGAGCTGTTTAACTACTTTAACACTACACTGTAAACACATACTACACACATTACATACTGTGACACACTACACGACACTAACACACTATAAAGACACTACACACACAGTAAAGAACTACACTGTAACACATAAAAACAAAATATTGACCAAAATTGCAACAGAAAGATCATTAAAGATGGAAATGAAAGTTAAACAGCTATGAAATAAGAGAATTATAAATGGCAAGTTTTCAATGGTGCTGTTATTAAAATATTTGCACTTAATTTGTACAAAATGTTCATAAAATAAACAGTTTTTATTGTGAAATATGGTTCCTGTTCATTATTTCCCTCAACCTGAGAAAAATTAGTTGCATATACTATAATTAATATGTTTACTTTTAGCATGGACTTTTTTTAGTTGAAAATGTTTATGCAAACATTTACAACAACTTAAATTGGAATGATGAGATAACAAAATTTTAAGGAATACTCATTAATTAATTAAGTAAGCACTACTTGATTTCTCTTGAATATATATATAAAAACATGGTCATTGTACTTAATTTTTTGTTGTAAATGAAACATATATCAGATACAACCAATGTGACAATTCAATAATTTAAACAAAAAAATAAATAGGTTCAACTTGAGATAGCTTTGTATTTATGTGGCTATTTAAGTTGGTGTTGTTATGCTGGACTAGTAGCGATTACTCAATTAACAATGAAGTTAGGACACTTAAAAAGATCCATGCAAAAAGTAAACATATCTTTTTGAGTAAACCCATTACATTATTTGTTAGAGTGCAGGCACACAAGTTGTAAGCCAGCTCTCATGTCTGAAGATTAAGAGAGCACATCCAGTTAGTCACAGTCAGAGAAACAGGACTAGACTGAAAAATCGGCCAAACTCAAACATCTATAAACAAAAGTGTTGACGGTAGCAGCACAGCTGATATTTCTCTTCAGGATGGAGTCACAGCCAAACAGGAACAGACCAGACGAAGCTACTATGAGAAAAAGCAGAGAGAGCAGAACGTTAGAAATTGAACTAACAGATTCTGCAGAGTGGGGGAATAGAGAGAGAATGAAGCAGAATGATGAAAAGGGGTCCCTATGTCCTCCAGCAGTCTAAGCCTATAGTAGCATAACTGTAGAGATAGCTCAGGATAACTTGAGCTACTCTAACTATAAGCTTTATCAAAAAGGAAAGTTTTAAGCCTAGCCTTAAAAGTAGACAGGGTGTCTGCCTGACAGACTAAAACTGGTAGTTGGTTCCACAGGAGAGGAACATGATAAGTGAAAAGGTCTTCAACACATAGATTTAGTTCACTCCATGTTAATTTATTAACATCAAGTAAATTTAATCTATTAATTTTAAATATTTTTTAAATAACATGTCATTATTTATTGTATATTATATAGATTTGTATTATAAATACATAAGTAAAAGTTTCATCTATTTATATTATTGTAAATGTATTTATTTCATTGTACATTCACACTGCAAACTTTTAATAAAGTCTTTTGGCCATTTGGAACAAACCAATATCTTGCTGGGTTCTTACAGACTTGGGTGAGTTGTGCGTATGACTAAAACTTTAGGCAAGATGTATTAGCTGCAGTGATGCTTTTGTGATGGCTGATTTCTGCAGGATCATTAAACATTAAAGATCCCTGAGGGACAACCTTCCTCAGGAGGGGTGTTTTAAATCCTCTGAGCCCACATTTAAGTTATTAATTTCCTAATTGGCTTTTTTTTTTTTTTACCCTCATGATGACTAGTAGATCAGTCAAAAACCACGATCAATGTGTGCCAACCAGGACCACCTGGATGTACCTCCCCTGACTTCCAGGCTGCATTTAAAATGAACCTTTCATCTGTCAGACTAGTCTTTATAAAGGGAAAAGTTGCTTTGTTACTGCTGTGCATTTCTAAACCAGCTGTTAAGGTTTGCTCTTGTGCAAAGCCTGTGTTTCTCACCTCAAAGTGTTGGGCCATAAAAACCACATTGGCTTTCATGTAGGACTTAAAAGAAACTTATTGAGCCGAGAAGCCGGAACCTTTCCGTCCCTCTGTTTCTATGCTGAGCTGTATTAAAGAAAGGATCAAAGCATAATGGCCTTATGTTAACACATAACAGAGCTTTTTTACAGTACAGCACGCTATTCATGTAAATTGTGTAATTACCTGTCAGTTTTTCTTTAAATGTAAGATAAATGAAAGATTACGGTCTTTCCAAAGAGTTTTGTTTTCAGGAAATGTAACGCACCCACCATCCTTTGCTACCATAACCCAGCTTTTGCAGACTCTTTAGCGTCGCCCTTGTGGCTCCCTGGACCTTTTACAAAAATGTATGATGTTTACCAATGCTGTAAACATTTGTATAATAAATAAACTTAACCCTTTTAGGCCTGTCACTCAAAAGTCCGCCTGGCATTTTTTTACTTGTTTAAAGTAAAAAGTAGGAAGAAAAAGTCCTGTGGCCAAGTGCTTCAGCACATTTTTCCA